AAGGAAGGAAGGAAGGAAGGAAGGAAGGGGGAGTTGGCCTCTGTTTCACTCCCCCTATCTGTAAAATGGGGGGAGGAAGTAATTCCCAATCAAGGTACCAGTAGGGTTCAACTCACTCATATCTGTCAAGTTTTTTGAGATCAGCAGGTAGAAGGTACTACTAAAAGTGCAAATTAGTAATAGTAGCAGTAGTAGAGGTCAGTCAGCCATTGTTTCAATGGAGCTGGGGGGAAAATGGTTAAATTTGCAAAACTGCAAAAAACCCCAACCCCAAAAACACCCAAAATGACTAATTTTACTTGCTATATTATACAGCTCATTTAACAGTCGTATTAAATAAAAACTATGCCATTATTATGTTTACTTAAGACCTGTTTCGGGTATTGCCTTTTTAGTTTTACTAAACATCTGTTCAATTTTCTCACTTTCTGCCCTGCACTAAATTTTAGAAAAACTGTATTTATTTCTTCTTAACATACATGTATCATTTTGTGTTGCAGGACTAGGTCCCGAGTGCCAGAAGGAGATAAAGAACCGATGCAAGAACGCTTTTTCCGGCCCTATTTTCTACAAGCACCTGGAGATATGGTAGCTCATGAAGGGCGACTTTGTAGACTGGACTGTAAGGTACTAATTTGCTTTCTTTGTTCTTTGCTGCTGCCCCTGTCACCCCTCCCTTAGTTACACTACTGAGATGTTTTGCCTACACCCTGCCCAATTCAACACATTATGTGGAATGACAAATTCACATAGCATATATCAAAATCAGAAGGCTGATTTATGTTGGTGTTCACTCTACAGTATATTGCTTGTCTTTTGCCTGCCTTTTGGCAGAGGTGCAGATACAAGGAACCTGTACAAGAATGCAGGGATACTTCTGCTGAGTTCTCTGGCTACCAGGTCCTTGAACATGAATGCTTATAGCACATAACCATGGGACAGAAAGCCATTTATATTCTACATACTACTCATTCCAAGGCTCAAACCTTGTATGAATTGATAGCCTTTGAACACCAGCACTTCTAAAAGTGTGGAGCAGAGTCAAATTACACAGAAAAGAAAGAACTCCCAAGTTTTTGACCCACACTCCCTTTTAGGAAGTTGCAGGTCATAGGGATTAGCAAATGTTCTTGTCATTTCTGCAGAGTTCAGGGATCCATAAGGAATACCAGCAGCAGGCATCACAGAGCTCGGGCCATAAAAAAAAAAAAAAAAAAAAAAAAAAAAAAAAAAAAAAAACACAAAGACCCGGGGACCAAAAAAAAAAAAAAAAAAAAAAAAAAAAAAAAAAAGGAAGCTGCTCCACAAGGTAGCTCCACCCATTCCCAGCAATCCAAACAACTAGGTCTGTGCAAAATGGCTATGTTTCGTTTAAGTTTCAGATTTGGCCATTTCAGGGGACAGTTATTCATTTCGGTGTTTTGGATCACTGTTCCATTTCAATTCGGCTGAAACTGTTTCAGAGTTCCGAAGCTGTTTCAGAAATTCGGATTAGCCGGGGAGATGCAGGCACTTTCCGGGAGCTGGGGCAGCTCCAGCAGTCAGCCAGAGCCTGGCACTGCTCAGCCCCAGCAGCCCCAGCTCCCAGACAGCACGCGGTGCCCTGTCGAGCTGCACTGTACCCGCGCCATGAGGCAGCTGCCGCGTGGTGCCAAGCCAGCAGGGGGGCAATCCCTGCTGCCCCCCATTTCCCCATGGTGTGTGTGTGGGGGCGGGGGGGGTCTGCCATCAGCCCTCAGAGGCCCCAATTGCCACTGCCATAGCTGGTGAGTGCAGAGCTTCTTTTTTTGTGTGTGTGTCAAGGCTGGGGCCAGGCAGGGGATGGGGCCGGGCAGGGCAGCCATAGGGGCTTCTCCTGAGGCTCCTTGGGCTGTTCCTGCCTCTCCCTGGGCAGGGGGAGTCACAGGAGAAGCCCCCATGGCTGCCCTGCCCAATCCTATCCCCCATCCAGCCCCAGCCTCCTGGCACTTTAAAAGAAGGGCTACGGGGCTATGCTGGACTATTCCCGGGGGTGCCTCCAAAACATTTGGGATGGTTCATTTCTTTTCAGAGATAGTTTCATTTAGTTTTGGAGATGGTTTTGGAACCTTCTGTTTCATTTCGGATTCAGTGTTTCAGGCACCAAAACAGACTGAAACACCTCTGAAATGAAATAGCTGCCAAAATTTTGCATAGCCCTACAAACAACCATCCTGTCACTATTCCCTATACCATGCATGTGGCTGGTCCCCATCCTGAAGGAAGTAGAAGGAAGTTAATGCTGGTCTGAGAAGCAGCAACACCCAGATCTGCTGACCTGTCCTTAGGAATAATCTAGAGCTTCCTGAGAGAGCATGCCACTGAAGCTAGTTACTCCCCAGCTGTTCTTCTACCAGTGCCTCCAAAGTTCCAATAGCATACTCTAATTTCTGGAATACACACGGGACATTTTTGAGTATGGGTAAGCAGATATGTATAGGAGAAAAAGTCCTAAAGAGTGTAACAGAGAATGAGTCTTTCTATAACATGTTGTATTAACTTATAGAATTCTATAGCATGTTGGTTGAAAATTGTGAAGAAAGGATGTGTTTAAATTTGTATTAGACCAACTCAAATAGTTGGGAAAATTCTTCTTTGCAAGCTTTTGGGTACAAGTACTTGCTATCCTGTAAAAGGTATTGGATTTACCCAAAGAACCTTGTCTGCCTGTGCCCTTAGACCAACATGGCTAGAACCTATACCCCTTTACATTTGTATTAAGTATAGCATACTCATATCTAAATGAACTGTAAGCCCCCATTGATTTTCTCTCTATTATATTCTATAAAGATTCAGACCTGATTTTAAGTGACCCTTTGAACTGATCATTTGTATAATCTGAAGTCAAAAGATTCTTAACATTTTACTTTTTAAAAATTCTTATTTGTAGAACCAGATTTTCTTTCCTAGAAATATTTAGGGGGAAAAAAGCTGTTTATCCCAGAACATTTCTGCTCTCTCTGGCCTCATTTTCTCTCTCCTACATCCAGATATCTGAAGATAGACTTACTTATTGTGGTGCGGAATTCTGTTTACCAGTCTGTCGGTTGCCTCTAGCTGTTTCATTGTCTGTTAGGTGAGTGGGTTACCAACTCCAGACCTGATGTGGCTCCTGAATGGCAAACCTGTGTTACCAGATGCCACCCACAAGATGCTGGTCAGAGAGAATGGAATTCACTCTTTGCTTATTGATCCCCTTACACAAAAGGATGCAGGAACTTACACGTGCATTGCAACCAACAGAACAGGACAAAACTCATTTAGCTTGGAGCTTACTGTTGTAGGTAAGAATTAGTAATGTAGCAAGAAACCCTTTTGTCTGCCCACTCCACCCCCCCAATGTGAAACTCCTCCATATGGCAAAAGCCCCTCTTTTAGTATCTGCCCCCTTTTGGGGATGCTTTCTCTTTTCTACCTTTTCTTCCTTCCTCTCTCTTTTTCTTTTATTATATCATTACTATTTTTATATAAGGTATATTTGTAGTGAAATTAGAGCTTGTAGATGCTTTTACAAATGTACTTTAAGTTTAAAAGTAAGTTGTACCATATAACAATGTTAGCAAGAGCAGGAATCTCTGTATGGAGCAGGTCCCTGGATGAATCATGGTTGATTGTGTAACACAGTATCTAGTCTGGATAAGCATGTTAATGAGCAGCAATTAACACCTACAAAATCAGAGACCAAGGAGAGGAAAGAATCAATAAAGAGCCAGGAATTCCCGGAAACTTCACTGTTAAAGGTACAGAAGCCCCTGTTTGAACTAATCAACACTGGAAACAGACCCTTGGGGCTGAAATACCCCCTGATCAACCACTTCCAGAGCTCTATTCATCACGGCAGTGAATCAATCAAAATTCATCAATGGATTCCTGAGACTGCATGTACGTGTGGACGTGACCCCTGGGGCTGACAGCTGCCATCCAGCAGCTACCAAGAAGGATGTCCCTTGAGGTCAACGACCCTTGGATTGGGTTAACCCAAGAATTGGGGAGTCACCAAAGTCTGCCAGAGAGGGTTAAAAGGCAGCAAAGAATGACCCCCAATGATGCTCTCTTTGACCTGACCAGCACCCTGCCTGTCCAGCCAGAAGGACCAGCCAGCGACCCCCTTCTGAAGCAACATCGCACTGAAAGAAGCCTCAACTGGCCATCGACGGAGGACTCCAGTGCTTGGGGATAGGTATATCTTGACACCAGTGCTTAGTGTTCAGAGCTAACTACTGTGAGTATGTGTGTTTATGTGAATGTGTGTGTGTTTGAGGGGATCAGCACCAAGGTTTATGGTCTGACGTTTGCATCCGTTCAATAAACTAGAATTTTATGATTATCCTGTGAGTTGGTGCTTTGTAGCTAACAGTAAAATGCTTAAAGAAAAGACTATGCGGCATTATATTGTGCTTATTTGTATATGTTACTTTTTAGGCACTAAACTTGAGTCTTCTGTCATACAAGTATAAGTCAGGAGTGACTCCACTGACGGCAAAAGAATTTTACTATGTAAAACGTAAAGTATAAAGTGTTGCAATGAAAAGAATCAGGTCCAGGGATTACTCTGTAGTTGGGCTGCAGTTGCTCTCTACACTTACAGCAGCTAGGTTTGGACACCTATGTATTTAAACTTATCTTTTTTCTACTTTTACCTCCTCACCTTGACATACCAGTCTTCCCAACCTTCTCCCCAGAAAAGGCAGAGCCTTGGATTTTAAAAGTAAAAACACTGTAAGAATCACTGATGTACAGCAATTGTTCCTCTTGTTTTTCAGCAAAGGAAGTCAAAAAAGCCCCAGTATTCTTGGAGAAGCTTCAGAATTGTGGGGTCCCTGAAGGGCACCCAGTCAGATTAGAAGGCAGAGTGATTGGAATGCCACCGCCAATGTTTTACTGGAAGAAGGATAATGAAACCATCCCAGCACACAGAGAAAGGATGAGGTATTGTACATTACACAGATAATGTCCTTGCAGCTGGGCTGACTATTGCAATAATTTTTTTTTTAACGATAAGAGCAGGTTGTGCCCTCTCTCTAGCCAAAATGCCAAAAGCATAAGAAAATGTGTGTTAACAGAATGAATAGGAGAGCAAAATCAACTTCCTTGATTCAGAATTAGGAGCAGAGCTGTAGTACAATCCTCTCCGATCCCACAGCCAGGGCTCTAGCCAAAAGACTGCTATAGTGCAGTAGCCCTTCTGAGCTATCTGCATGCCATATTGTTGGAACTGGTCCTATGGCTCAACTCGCCTCAGAGAGCCCTCTCCCACATGTGGCCAGTCAGCAACCACCTTTCTAGCAACATATAAATCTTTGCCTGAACAACAATGACTTAATATGTACCTCTGTACCAGGATGAATTTAATTCTGCCTACCTTTCTGTTTTCATCAGTTCCTCTCTCCTTGCTGCTCCTCCCACCTTAAACCTAACCATTTTGTCAACATTAACTGTTAGGCTTACCACTATTATCCTGTACTTTAAAAATATAAAAGTAACACTCATGACATTTTATATTTTAAAGCAAAACTCAGAGAGTTCAGCTGGCTAACCCATCAGCAAAGTGCTTCTGAGATCTATCATTGCAAGGGTCCTTTAATTTTTAAGGGGGGCGGGATTATTATTGCTATATTTGATTAGAGAGAAATCAGATGCTGCTGCATCTTTACAAACAGATGGGAGAATTATTCTTTATAATTTAGGGACCTATTTAAATTGCAGTTTCGTGGATTTTGCAGAAATCACATAAAACAGCATTGGCTGCAATCCAGCTTTGGCTGCGATCTCTTGCAAAATCAACCCAAAAAAACCCACTTGTGACAGACTGAGTGAAGATGCCCTTTGCCAATCAGCAGCAAGGTGCAGGGCAAAAGAGCGGTAGTGATGTAGACTGAGTGAAAGTGCCCTCTGCTAATTGGTGGGGCCATCAGCAATGCTTGCTCAATCAGTGGCAAGGTGTGGGGCTGCCATGAAATGCCCACAAAATTGGCTCTGCATGCCATAGCAAGCCACAAAAAGCCCTTCATCTCACAGCAACCTAGGGTGGTCCCTATATATAACCCAAGAGAAGGAGCTTTGCTTAAGGCACTATTCCATAGCATAACATATCTACATTCAGAAAGCAATCCCTTTCAATCTACAGGCCCAAAATGCTGGAGAACACACAATTTACAACTACAAGGAGGCTGTCCAGCTTTTATTGCTCCCAGGACTTAGGCAAAAATTGTTGTTGTGCCAGAGAAGGGATTACCAGAGCAGAAAAATAAGTTGTGCCAGAGAAGGGATTACCAGAGCAGAATTCAGAAGTCAGAAAAGGTGTGCGAACCCTCCTAGCTCTAAAATGGCCCCATCCCCACCCCAATATCACCCTACTCTGGGCACGAAAAAGTAGTGCAAACCCATTGCCTTTATCAGTAGACACACAAAAGTTGATCTGCAACATTAACATGCTCCCATTTTTGTGATCCAAAAATGGTTTCACCCAATTCAGCCTTTGGGGTTTCCATCTTTCACAGGCACAAAGAGTTCTGTCCTCTCTTAGTCATTATTAAGTAGAACAATACATAATTCATTGACTTTAAAATAAAATCCTGGTAGGGAAATCTCTCTGAGCCTCTACCTGACATTGATCCTTTGAGATTCTTATAACGAGTCAGTATCTTTGGTATTAAGGTTCCCAGAAGAGATATCTCATGAGAGCTACAGAAAGGACAATCATTTCCTTCTTCTATGAAAAGAAATTGCAGTACAGAATTATAGTAGCCTTCTTTTGCCCATAAAATTCTAGAAACCTGAATTCCCTTAAGGTTTGTAGGGTGCAGACCATTAAAAAGTTCCATTTGTTATACAGAGATTTTTAGAAAATAATGTTCATTATTCACACAGTGACAAGCAAATTTGCATTAAGCATCTCATTAATTTTTTAAGGCAAGCATAAAAGTGGCTGTGTCAGACATTAAACCCACCATAAAATAAACTCAGCATCAGCAAATCTCTTTCCAGAAGGGCTTGTGTTTGTAATAAATGCTGGTTTTGAAATTTTGCATTTTTGTGGGCAACAGCAACATATTATCAAAGTATACTCTTTGGCATTCATTTTTTGTAGAAATAGATACAAACAATTTAGATCATGATTTTTCCCCAAACTTTAGGATAATCACATCTAGGATCTTGGTTTAGAATATTAGAGATAGGAAGTAACAGCAGCATTTAAATACAAGTCCCACCATAGATTTCAGCCTACATTTCTGAAGCTCCAGGGTATTTGAACTCAATGTTTCGGTTTATATATATTCACTGCTTTTTAGATGGAAAAAAGAACAACCTACTGCAATATATTTCCTTGGCTTTGGTTAGACAATAAATTAATTATTTTCTCTCTTCTATGGAATTCTACCTCAGTATAAATCTGTTGATCAACTTAATGTTTTAATTAGGGCCAAACAGCTACTCAACAATAAGTTACTGCCTCCCTGCTATCCATTACGAGTAGTAGTTGAAGCATGATGGATGTGTGCCCTGGACTGCCTCACTTTTAATTATTTTGGATAAAATTCATGGCATGCATAGACAATGAGTATTCAGCCATACATAGGTGCACCAACAAGGTAAAATCCACCGCTCCACCCTAAAGCCACAAGGTGGGATTGTACACAGCAGGGCTAGCAGCACAAGTGTTTTTTACCTTGTTACCACCAGAGCCCTAAACTTCTAGCATCACCTGTGTAAAGCGTTAGGACTACTGGATCCACAGAAATACCAATTGGCAGCCATTCTTCCCAGTTTACCCCTGTCTTGCCCCCACTGATATCTCCCACACTAGCTTATGTAAAACCGAGAGACATTTTCTACAGAGTAAAGAGGATGCAGTTGTCCCCCAAATAACTGCTCCATTCATGTTACCTGAGCAGGTTAAGGGTCAACATGACCCTTTAGGAGTAATACTTCTAGAGCTGGCTGTAAAAATGGAATGTCAATCCCTCATGAAGAAGGTTAGAGGTTTCATTTCAATTGAGAACAAAACAAAATCATGAATATCAGAATCTTCCCTTAAAGGAAACACTTCAGCTTGGGAGCATATGAGTGACACTGGACACATCTATATGTGCTATTAGTTCAAAATAGGTTTAATGCACAGGAAAAATACTATGCAGTAAGCCTACCAGGGAGCACATCTACACATGCTCCCTCTTGGGAGCAGATTTGCACCCACTGCGAGTAGCCCACTAGGGGGCTACTCCTGCCCTGCTCTGCCCTTCTACAGCAGCCAGGGGGAGCTCCTGATGTGCACAGGGCCAGGAGACAGCTGCTGCTACAGAGTTTTCCCACCCCATGCACATAGGGACAAGCCCTGTGCCTAGCAGGGTTTCCCCATGCAGTCCTGGGCTGGCCGGGAACTGTCCTGTTTCAGGGGCAGGGCCCATCCAGCTCCAGGCTGCACAAGAGAAACTCTCCATGTGCAGCCTGGAGCTGGCTGGGACCTGCCCCAGAATGGGACAGTTCCTGGCCAGCCCTATGCTGCATGGGGAACTCTCCACAAGTAGCCCAAAGCTGGCTGGGACCTGCCCTGGCTCCTGGTGGGAGCTGGGAGCTCAGTAGTGTCAGAACCAGGGGACTTCCCCCATCCCCTGTGGCTTCCTAATGTAGGGACTGACCAGGAGTAAATTTGCTTCTGGCCAGCGTCTACATATGCTGGCAGTTACTACGCAAGTAGTTTACTACTTGTATTTACAGGTAGCAACTAACTGCCTAGTAGACTAATTTACTGCACAGTAACTGTGCACATGTGTAGACAGCGATGCTTTACTGTGCAGTAGATTAGTCTACTGCACAGTAAAACATCTTGTGTAGACACACCCACTGTCACCTCTCCCAGGTCTCCTGTCTGCTGATGTAAACCCCTGGGCTATCAATGGAAGGACAGACCAGCGAACAGAGAAGCCCTAACTCTGTGACATTCCATCCCACTTAACAAGCTTTCCCAATGGAGGCTGGAAGCCCTGAGCTACTGTAAAGCTTGCAGGGAGTGAGGAAGGTCTGCTGGCAGAGAGCCAGGCAGGTTTCTATTGGATTATTATTGCAAGCACCACACAACTGTGGGAGATTTAGTTTTTGCGAAATTGGTATTTTCTAATGGTAAAATTTTCCATTGAAAAATTTCATATGAGTTCTAATTACTCCCTTTATAAGTCTGCTTTATTAATTATATTACAACTTTGTACAATCATTAGTAGCATTTATGTGTTGCACCTCCGTTATTTGAAGGACTAAGATTTTGCAGAGCAGAACAGCACTTTATACAGGTTAGATAGCCATCATCTTAATACTAAATCGGACAGCTGATACACACTTTGAATTAGTAATTCCAACCACTTATTTTCCCAGCATGCATCAAGATACAACAGGATATGTTTGCCTTTTGATTCAGCCTGCCAAGAAAGCAGATGCTGGTTGGTATACTTTGTCTGCTAAAAATGAAGCTGGTATTGTGTCGTGCACTGCTAGACTTGACATATATGGTAAGTATCCTATTATGAACTCTGAAATAAAACTTTTACCTCATTTATTTAGACTACCCTTAACTAGGACTAAGCAGGACTGTCTAACCCACTGTTAGTCTCCTAACAAGCCATTCATGTTTGTTCATTAACTAAATTTGTAATATAATTTCATAACAATGGAAATGGAAATGTGATGCTTTTTCCCCCTTAAAACTCTCTAATTATAGGCACTATTCAAAAAATAAATTTGACAGGGAGATTTTTTTCTATTTTTTATGGCAAAATTCTCGCTAAACAATATACACTATACCATTAAAAAGTACAATCTGCCCCATTAACTTCATATGAGGACAGAATCATCGTGTGATTACATGAAAAAAAAGCAAACATTTCTAAGACATATGTATGGAGATAAATTTCATAGAGAGGCTAGTTTTCGGTTTAGGATGTTGTTTTGTGCATAAGAGTAAATTGAGCCATGGAGTCGCATAGTAAATCCAGACCTTTGCTCCACTAAAATACCTCCCATATTTTATTAATCTACTTTTCAGTTTGGGGAAATGACAGTTATGCAACTCAGTAGCTAGAACAATTTAAGCAGTTGAGGAGTTGAAGAAATAAATAAATTTTTCTTTTTGGGTTGTAACCTAAGTCTAAACTCTCTTGGCCTTTTGATGCAGTGACCAACCATCTGTATATCCCAGTATTCCCCCCGAAACAGAACTTTGTGCCAAATTTGTTTGCTCCCATACTGGCCTGCGACTCCCCACCTCACGTTCTCAGGACATCAGGCAGTGCGTTGCTGCATCTGCCCAAGAAGACACAGCAAGACTTGTAAAATCAGAGGACACTGCCCAGTGGTTTCAGCTCAGCAGAACAGGCACTATAGGGGGTCAGTCCATGGTGCCACATGCGACCTGTGCCCCAGAATCCCTATGCTGCATGCAGCATAAAGTCCAGCCCATGCACCATGGGCAGTGCATGCCTCATGCTAACCCTGGAGGCTGACACATGCTGGGTATGGTGTGCGAAGTGGACCCAGCATCGTGGCTGCTCCACAGGAGGTAATCCCAGTGTGGCCCACAGACCAGCTCAGGGATGCTCATCTGGCCCATGGGGCTGAATGAGTTTGACACCCCTGATCTAGGCACTAATACAGTGATTCTCAACCAACATGCTGCAGTACCCTGGGGTGCCTCAAGATCCTTTCAAGGGTGTCATGGGGTGCCACATATTAGCACCGCTGGTGTGCAAACATGATTCCCAGGATAAACCCAGAGATTTCAAACAGGAATACACAGTGTCCAAAACACTCTGCCGTGCTGTGGTCTGAGTTCTGTGCAGGAGAAAAAATACTCTATTATTATTTGTTTGTAGTCCAAAAATGAGTGAAAACTAAAAGCTGGCATTTTCCAAGAGGTGCCTTGAGACTATCAAGGGGTGCCATGACACTGAAAAGGTTGAGAACTACTGCGCTAACGAAAGCAATAACTTAATGTAGAAAGACTTTTTTTTCCTTACACATCAAGGCCCCTGGTCTATAACTCCGTATCTTTACTTCATAAAAACATTCCAGTTGTCTACTCAGAGTAAACTCTAAAATGTAAGATTAGCTCTAAATACTGGTGTTTCAGGAATCTGTCCACTAAGAGCCTAAAAATGTTTTTTTTGATACCTGAGCATTTCATTTGACTTGATCAGCTAATTGATGTGCTTCCACTATGACATGCAGAACCACCACCTACAAATCATTCTGTCTTGAGCACTGCCTAAACCTACAATATTCAACAACTATGAACCTTTAGAGCAAAGTGTACATATATTGCAATAACAGCTTAGCTAACATCTAATTATAATAAAGGAGATTATCTTGAATGACTAAGCATACAATTATACCACACACATACATATGTCAAGTCATTGCACTGTAGCATTACTTACAAGGAGGAAAACTTTCAAATCTCTTAAAAAACAATTTTAACCAATTTTAAATAATTGTTTCACTACCTGCAATAACAAAAACAACCAACAAACGCAGTGGAATCCATCCACATCCCTGTTAGTTTTCTGCCATCTGGTGGACATAGAATTGCATTTTATACTTAATGCCTCCTTGATATATTTGAGGAGCTAGAGAGATTGCCATATTAAAAAAATAACCTAACTGAACCTAAATGAAATAAACTAAATATATTGTTAGCGTTCCAAACATTGAAGGAGATAAGTTTAACAGACACACACGTGATACAGATCACAAGAAAGGAAAAGAATTGTTTATGGTGGGTCAAGCAGGAAAAATGAGATAAGAACATTTGGAAGGGAAGCCTCATCATTTTATCAATTTGAAACTAAACTAGCAAATGGGCCAATCCTGCAGTGGCAGGTGGACCTGATATAGTTATAACAGATCTTCTCCAGGTCCACCCTCTATACTTTTCAACACACCAAGTTTAAAGAAAAAATATGAAGTATAGTCAACAGAAGAGCTATCAAACAG